CACCCTGAGCTTAAAGGTGTGTGCTACCAACATCCTAAACTTAACTTCTAAAAACATGAACTGTAACATCTTATAATAGATTAGCATCTTTCACAAAACAAGAACTTTACATTGTCAGGCTTTGCTTAAAAATAATTCTAAATTGAAGCTCTTTAAGTACAAACATTAATAAAAACAAACATTTAAAAAAACTGGTTTTAAAAAGAAATTTAAATTCCCTTAATGTCTTCTGTAATATATAGAAGCATTAACATTTTAAATCTTAACTGAAAAACTTGTTTCTAAGATGGTACCTCTAATTCCCATGCGGTCACTTTTAGTCAAGATGGCGGTTTAAGTATCCTTTTTTAACTTTAGCAAAATGGCTACCAGTCAGCCATGTGACCAGTTTGCCATGTGGTTGGCTACCAGGAAACAGAACATTTTAAAACAAGTATACATAAATTATATGAGAAATAAACAGGACTTTTAAAAACAGAATTAGCTTAATAAGGTTAAAATTTTAACTTATATTACCATTTTTAAAATTTACTATTTGTAGACATGAGAAACCATAACAGTTTACAGTTTATATTTTTCTCTGACTTGTAACAACCTTTTCTCTGACCTTCTACGACTTGCTTTAGCTCTCTATAACCTTTTAGTTCATTCCTCTGACTTTCTTAGACATTCTTAGGCAAATTTCCCTTTTCCTTTCTCTCTTACATTTTTTTTTTCATTTTTTAGTCAACATAAAAATTTTATCAAAGTCCCTTTTACAGTTCTTAATAACTTTAAGGCCTTTTTTCTTTTTTCTTTTCTTTTCTTTTTTTTTTTTTTTTAAGAAGTCCGGATCAGACCAGATAAGTTCATACATCCTAGCTCCATGTGCTCAAGGCAGAGAGACCTGAAGTGGGGGTGCTGCTGGTAACCCCAGACCCTCGGCCAATGCAGGGGTGGGAAAAAGACCCCCGAGGCCCTCCTGCATACCATGTGTGTGGAGCACAGAAAGATGGGTAGCCAGGCAGATGGCGGCCTTGCAGCCATGTTCCCTTAGAGCAGGGAAACACCCGTGACGGCAGCTGGGGCAGAAACAGCCCCACTTGGCATGCCTCACAGACCCGAAGGTGGGGATAGAAAGGGGGTGGTGTGGTGGATCCTGAATTGAAAACCAATGATGACAACACAGAATAGACAGGAAAGAACAGACGCCAACCCAATCTGCTGGCACCGCTTATAAGGCAATGGCGCCGGGAAGACGGGCGGCAGAACGCGGTGGCTAAATCACCGCCAACTGAGGAGGATCCAAGTCCTTGGCCTCCGTTCGTACCTCCTGGGTGTCCTCAGAGAAGCAGTCTGTCCTCCAGGCATCTGCCGATCACAGTTGAGGTGGCGCCACGTGCTCAGAGCATCAAGAAAAGACCCCCTGACCCATGCATGCCATGTGCGTGGGCAGTAGGGGCAGAAAGAGATGCTTAACAAACACAAAACACAAATATTAATCGTGGACAGACATTAGACAGCACAAACCGCGGCAAAGAAATGGTGCCCCAAACCAAAATTACAAACAACCCTTGGACTTTCGTCCAGGAACCAAGGGTTCCAGAAATACGTCTATTTCTGGGCCCGCAAGTCTGCTTACCCTATGGTTCAATTCAAACAACCCTCGTACTTTCGTCCAGGGCAGGACTTCAGGGTCTCGAAACACGTCTATTTCCCCCTGAGGTCCGAATACAAATTCCAAATACCAGTACAAATTCAAGTCATGGCACCAAACCAACAAAAGAGCAAGAGACATAACAAGCAAACATCTACATTGAACATGCAAGTTGCGAGCTCGAATCATCTTACCTCCAAGATCGAATCCACTCAGGTGAGGGGTGGTCGCAAATCCCAGACGAGCCCCCAAATGTTAGGACCCCCCCCCCCCGAAAACTCAGGTATCCGTGATCCCAGGCCACGACTGCGGACACTCCAATCACCAGGCAGATTTGAGAGCGTGATGCAAACTGCACGAGGCTTTATTGTAATTGAACGAGCTAACCCCATGTTAGCTCGGGTCTTTCACCCACCCGCCATGGCGGATGGCGCGCAAAAGACGGCTCCTAGGGCCGCCCAAGAGATCTTATAGGACAGCGTAAGGGGAGTGTCTAGGGGTACGCACAGGCTTACGATTGGTGTGCCGCCAGGCTTGGAGGGCTTGCCCTGTGTTGAATGGTCAACTGGTTGTTATGGCCCATAGGCCCTCCCAGGGGGGTTGCTATGCTCTCTGTGTCATTGCTGTGCGCTTGTCCGTAAAGCACACCCAGGGTCGTAAAGCATAGCGCCACCAGCTAACTTCTGATTGGTTCCTTGTCATGAGGCAGGCATCTGACTTTCTAGTGTCTAGGACAAGGTCATAGAAGCACGTGTTCGGCCGTTATGGCTGCCAAAAGGGAAGCTGGTTCCTTCAGTAAAACCCCCGGTCACAAGGGCTGCAAGCAGCAGCTAAGATGTTCTTTAAATTTTTTTAAAAACATGTTTTCATTTTCAACACTAGATGGCTACCTAGGGGCAGGAATACGCTAGGGGAGGTGGGGCAAGTACTGGGAGCTTCAGGATCTGTGGGTGGGGAAATGAAAATGAACAAACCCTGGCACTTTCACTGCAAAGGGACAGGGACATATTTCCCTGTTGTCCTCGCTCTCAGAGTAAGAGAACCCTTGCCTCTCAAGTGGGTGGGGTGGAGAGGGGGTGGCTGCAGTGCTTACCCGTGGAGCTCAGAGGCCTAGGAAGGCCTCACATTTTGAAACAGCCATTGTTGGCCCGGGGTGGTCCTCCCCGTGGGAGCTCTGTGCCTGGGACTTCGCCATTCCTCTCTTTCCCATGTGAAGACCCTTCAAGTGGTTCTTGTATGCGGCTTGGTCTCAGTTCTTGGCCGCTGCCTGGAACGTGGGCAGGAATATTCCCGCTCTTCACTTCTGGGCTTTCCCTGAACTTTGAGCACCTAAGCACCAGCAGACCCAGGCCCGCCATCCCTCCCCACACTGGCTGTACAGGATCTCGTCATCACCGAGGGGGCACTAACAGCTTAATGGGCTGCAGCTGTTGGAGAGATGGACAGGGGACTTCTGGGCTTTCGTGGGGTTCTGTGGTACAGTGGGCTCAGCTTTGGACTTGTCTGGAGTGGTCCGTACTTCAGGCTTGGCAGCAGGCTTAGAGATATAGTGCCCTGCTATTTCTTCACAGGAATATTCTTCCTGGGATGATGTCCAGTAGCCAAAGGACAGTGTACTAATGGGGGACCCATTTCTGTTTAAATATGAAGAGATTCCTGCCAGGTTCAGATAAGGGGCCAGGATGGGACTACTTAAAACATTTATTTATTTATGTTTTGAGACAGGGTTTCTCTGTGTAGCTTTAAAGCCTGTCCTGGAACCTCGCTCTGGAGACCAGGCTGGCCTTGAACTCACAGAGATGCGCCTGCCTCTGCCTCCCGAGTGCTGGGATTAAAGGCGAGAGCCACCTGGCTAATTTTCTTTTTAGACAAGGTCTTACTATATAGCCAACTTCCCAAGCTGAGCCATCTTGCTTCCCATTGCCTTTAGACAACGACTTCCCCTTACTTGGGATGACTCTCTATATTTGTGACTCACACAGATAGAGGGCTGGACTTTGTGAGTTTAGCTTTCCCCCTCCTATCAACCCTGGGGCTGGACTTTGTGAGTTTAGCTTTCCCCCTCCTATCAACCCCTCCCCGCTTTTAAAATAAACCACCTGACTTCGCCGAAAGCTCTGAAACACACCCTTTGGCTGAAAGAGAGAATTAGGCAATCTCAGAATTCCCCACTGCTCTTTTCTCAGGAGAGCTCTGCATAGCGGGATCTCTCAGTCCAGGGAGGCCGACACAGTTCTTGTTTGAAAAGCAGAGGGAGCTCTAAGATCGAGGCTGAGTCGCCCTGTCCTATGTTGTGGTCTCCCAGCCCCCTCTGTTTTGGAACAGGGAATTTTGGACATGCACACTCGGGTAGGGAATCTTAGGAGCAGTCAGGACAGGGAGGTTAGGCGGAGGTTCCTGCAGAGGCTGACTCCTCTGGAGCGGCAGGGTCTTCCCAGCATGGCCAGTGGCAGGAGAGGAGACTGACCTACTTGTTCCCATCAGCTCCTGAAGGTAACAACTTTAAAAAGCAAACCTTGGAGAGCAAAGCTTTGATGGAGGAGCAGGGAAGGACAGGGAACCGCCGTGTAGAGCAAGGCTTGGAGCATGGGGGCAAAGATGGAGGGCTGGAAGGATCTCAGAATGTAGCTGGGTTCTCATATGCTGAACCCCATCCCAGCTTCGTCTTCCCACACAGCAGTGTTTTCACGGGTAAAGGCAATTTGTGAGAGACTTTTCTGGGAACTAGGGGAAGACACTTTGCCTTTTAAAAAGGACGAAACAAACCAACTTCAGAGAATTAAAATAAGCCATATTCTCTTGTCCCAACGTTTCTCAGTCAGCTGTCCTTTTCTCCCTTACTGGTGCCACCCTGTCATAGCAGGGGCAACACTTTCCTTCTGATTAGGCTTCCTCCCAAGGTCCCTTCCTGTCCCTTTGGAAAGCAGCTCTTTCCTCCCTCAGTGGCCACCGCAGAAGCACCTGCAATGAGCATGTCACAGAGGCTGGCTTGAACGGTGGTGGTGGTGGGGGGTGTTCTGAAAGAGGCTGGGAACTGTCCCAGGTGGGTGTGCAGGATGGACAGACCTGAGTGGAAATACAGAATCACTGATGCAAGGTGGAGGGCAACACAAAGGATGGGACAGGCTCTTCATTCATTTGCAGAACAACTGGTAGATGGCTCTGGGCAGCAAAGAGGAAGAGGGCTAAGACGAGCTGGTCTAGGAAGTCAGTTGAAATCGCCTGACCTGGGAGGGTGTGACAGGCCAGGTAGTGATGGTTACTGACAGGAACTCATCTGTCTGGTATTCTTCCAAAGGTGACACTGAGTCCTGGGTGGCCCCTCACCACCAAAGCAGGTGCCTGTATTTGCTGGATAAAGACAGCCAGGCCACGCGCCCTTCAGTTTCAAGGTCAGAGGTCCAGAGAACCAGAGAGCCATGGGCAAATCACCAGAGGCATGGTAAGTGGTCAGGTACCTACAGAAATGTGCATGAACGCCAACCCCACTTGCTTTCGCTCTTCCATATTTTTGAGGCAGGGTCTTACTTGATAGCTCAGGCTACTATGGGACTCGCCATCCTTCCTCTGCCCCCAGAGTGTGGGCCTTACACACACGGTTACCGCGTGTGCCTTCCCGTTTTCTCAAGGGAGGGCTCAGATCTGAAGCCTGAGTGATAACTTTTATATATTTATTCCGAGATTAGTCTATACCATGTCGCATCAGCTGCCTTTTCCTTTCCCCGTTGGCTTCCTGCTGACAGATGCCAGAGTTGTGCATGAAGCCATTGGTGCCCGAATTCCCCACTTTTCTCTGTGCTTCCCCCGCCCTTCCAGGTGCATTGTCTTGTTTTCTGTTTTGGCATCATTTTCTGCCGAGCCTACCATGCATGGGGAGATCCTGTCCCCTAACTATCCTCAGGCGTACCCCAATGAGATCGAGAAAACGTGGGACATAGAAGTCCCAGAAGGGTTTGGGATTCGCCTCTACTTCACCCATCTGGACATGGAGCTGTCAGAGAACTGCGAATATGACTCGGTGCAGGTATATTGCAAGCATATGAGGAAGAGAGATGGGAGGGTAGACAGGTCGGGAGGGATGAGGAGGATGTTGGGGAACAGTGTGGTGTCAAGCTGTCCTATGGGTTGGGGGCATGGCTCAGTGGGAGAGCACTTCTCTTGTATGTACAAGTTCCTGGGTCTGATACACAGAACTGGGGGTGGGGTGGGGGGGTTGACACAGAGATCGGAAGTAAAGATTCTATTCTCTCTGTCTATTTTTTACTTCTAAATTTGACTCTTCTCTTAGATAATCTCAGGAGGCGTCGAGGAAGGGAGACTCTGTGGGCAGAGGACCAGCAAGAATGCCAACTCCCCCATTGTGGAAGAGTTTCAAATGCCATACAATAAACTCCAGGTGATCTTTAGGTCAGACTTCTCCAACGAAGAGCGGTTTACTGGCTTTGCTGCATATTACGCTGCCGTAGGTAAGACATCACTCTTAGGATATGATATGTCTCTTTCCTCCAGCAATGAATTAGTTGCCTACAGATTGTCAGGGAGGGGTGGGGCCTCATGAGTCCCTCCCCACTCCATGACAGGGTATTCACAGGCATGGTCTTGTGCAGGTAATAATAGCTTCGGTGAGTCTAAGTGCAATGGCCCTGTCATGCCTGCCGGACAGCGTCTAACAACACTTCCATCCCTTCCTCTGGCTCTTACATTCTTTCTGCCCCCTATTCCCCGATGTTCTCTGAGCAGTAGAGTCTTCCTTCCTTCCTTCCTTCCTTCCTTCCTTCCTTCCTTCCTTCCTTCCTTCCCTCTCTTCCTCCCTCCCTCCTTTCCTTCTTTCTTCTCTCTCTCTCTTTACACTGTAGCCCAGGCTGACCTTGAACCTCATGTCAGTCCTCTGCTTCAGCCACCTGAATACTGGCATTACATGCCTGAGCAAACATGCCTAGCTTTGAGAGTATTTAAGTAACGAGCCTTTTCCTCATCCTTATAGGTTTGGCCTTAACGTCATTCTTCCTTCTAGGTCTTTGTCTTTGACCTTGTATTTTCTCTCCTTTTTTTGCAGATATAAATGAATGCACAGATTTTACAGATGTCCCTTGCAGCCACTTCTGCAATAATTTCATTGGTGGTTACTTCTGCTCCTGTCCCCCAGAATACTTCCTCCACGATGACATGAGGAACTGCGGAGGTGAGCCTGGCATCAAGAGGTCTTCATGGTCCCTAGGATCTGGAATGGATTGCAGGCTTA